AAAAAAAAAAAAAAAAAAAAAAACACACCTCCGTGCATTGTCCACGTGGGTTCGCGTATATGCAACACGTACACCAGCAGTGAAAGACGCACAACCAAAAAAAGGGGAAGAAAGGAAAAAAAAAAAAAAAAAAAAAAAAAAAAGACGATGATACCTGTCTAACTGCTACTTCAACACTGACTCAGTGCGCATGTCGATTCGGCCACCCACCCCTCACTTCTCTCCCCGTCCTGGATAAACCAAAACACTAACACTGTTTATTACACCCTGTTACATTTTCAGTCGACGCTTCAATGTCGAGCTCTCCATTCGCCGTCACAACAGCGGGGCCATAGTAAGCCATGGCGTTCCTCGACTTGTAATATTCATTTCGCATGGCACTCTGGGTTAACTTCACATCGTATCTGTGACTTATTGGCTCAAACAACAACCCCCAAACCACACTGAAGAAGAGACTCATCCCCAGGAAGAGGCAATAAAACCAATCAAGTGATTCAAACAAGGCACTGTTAAACAGGGTTAAGGCTAACACTTCTACAAAGGCTGTCGCTATGAAACAGAACCCACATATCCATCCCCAAGCTTCTCCAGCCCCCTCTGAATGGTACACCTCTAAAAAGAAACAACCAGATCCGTACAAGAATAAACAAAACGCATCTATCAGTCTTGAACTAAAATATAGAATCCATGATGAACCCGCCCCGATTTTCTCCTCCATCCAGGGGTCATCAAAGTAGTATGAAGAAGCCATTAAACAGATTAGAGACAAACTCCAGGACACGGTGCCTAACGTTAAGGGGAGAAAGCGAAGAAATGTGACATGTGGTTAAGGGCACAACCAATGGGCATACATGCACTCATGTTGAAAGAGGGGTGAGTATAAAAAGGAAGAGTGTCCTTCATTCACCACTGCGTCGCTGGGCCTTACCCATAGACGTGGCCTGTAGCAAAAATTTCGTCCCGGCTCGGTATCCTCTCGATTGCTTGATGCTATAAGAAGAGGGGTGAGGTGTGAAGGTGTATGTTAAAGCAGCAGTGGGGTAGGCATCTCAACACGAAGCAGTACAAGCATCACAAACGACTGTACACATGCGCGTGTAAAAGTAAGAGGGGGGGAGTGGGGGGAGGCTCCCACCACAGGGGAGGAATAAACGCCGCTCTTGTTCATGTTTGAAAAAAAAAAAAAAAAAAAAAAAAAAAACCTACCTGCTATCATCCTCCGTCAACTGCAAAAATGACATGATCAGGAGCGTCCCCAGGAGAAAACCCCCGATGCTAAAAAGAACCAAAGGCATTGGCGCGTTTCCAACACTTCCTGGTAGTGCCCTCAAAAAATTTAAAAGGCCCAAGGGGTTCTTGCCAATTAATGTTATAGAGCAGACCAACAAGATGTACGAAATGAACTGAATGAGGAATCCTACGCGCAAGTTGAAGTTCATGAAGAAGTCCCAAAATGGCTCAAACTGGGGTCCGCGGCCTTCTGGGGCTTCCCCGGGGCGCACGACGTATGTGAAAAACATTTTGCAGGGGGGTTGGCAATTTGTCTAGGGGGAGGCTGGTTGGTCGGTTCGTGTACTCGTCACACGGTATCACTTCTTTCACTTGCTACCCTGGCTGACGTTCGTCGTGCGGGCCGAATAGCTGCTGTGTCGGTCTAAATGGCTGCTTTACACGTTCTGCGTTCTTTGCGCATGCGTTCACTGTTCACCGTTCGCCCTTGCGCAGTTGTGTCTGTTGCTACGTCTTCGCGTCGCTCCGTGTGTTCGCTACACGGGGGCAGGGGCGCACTGGACAATGTGTACTGGACAAATAACGCTAGACAAATAATGCCTTACAAATCGCGCTGGACAATTCGCACTGGACAAATAAGCAGTCCTAATTACTCTCTTGGGACAAACAATTTTTTTTTTTTTTTTTTGTAATACGTATGCAATTTCTGTAGCGGCGAAACACGCTGTTTCCTCTCCGTTCAGGGGTTGCAATGCGTGTAGCACGTGTAGTATACGTGTGTGTACGCGTGTAATACATACGCGCCCAAGGGGGGATGCATTCGTGCGTGTCACGAATTAGCGTCCACGTCAGCAAAGTTGCTCACTGATTCAATTTTTTTTTTTTTTTTTTTTTTTTTTTTTTTTTGCATGTACACACAATGTAGCGCTAGTTTACCTTTGTGGATTTTTTTTTTTTTTTTTTTTCCTGTTCATAATTTTTTTATTGTTCTTAAGCGAATTTTGTTTTTTTTTTTTTTTTTTGATGGGAAAAATATGTACATGTGCAGGTGATTGTGCAGCAACGTACACATTGAAGGGTTTTTATCCTACGCCGCTGTGCTACACATGCGGGGAAATCAAATGGCGACACTCCCCCCCACTCTTAAGTAAAACAAAACGTGTCTTCCCCACAAGTGCGCTGTTGCACGCGTGCGTGTATGCATACAGACCAAAGCATGCTTATATACAATACGTGCCCTTGCCGGTTACACACCCTCTCGAAGCGATGGTTAGCAAATGCGCCACGGAATGTCCATTGCTTTGCGCAAATGCTTTTCTGCATCGTCAAGTGGCCTTCCCCTCTGTGACCACTTGCGGGGTATGCAGCAGAGGTGCGCAAACATGTGCGAAATAAAGCGGCATGAATTATGCCACTTCATTGATCCCCTCAGCTGTGCACAGCTCATCAGTGACGTACCACAAGTGGACAGTGAACCACCACCGTTTTATTTCTACCTCCAACGTCAAGCGGCGACCTCGTGAGTCCACGTATCTACAATTATGTGGAAACAGAAATTGGATCCTGGCACTTGCAACAGGGAAAAAAAAAAAAAAAAAATCACCAATTTTTCCTCACATGTGTGCAAGGCCTGCCTCAAAGCATGTAGCAAATTTTTTTTTGTGTGCAATGTGGAAGGTTATGACCCTTCGAGAGGAAAATCTTCAAATGTGGACAGGGTCACCAACCAATATGAAGGTTCTTCATTGGGCATTTCCCTCCCATCAAGTGGATGGGTACTTTGCTTTGGGGGAAGTCAAATTATGGCTAACCCGTTTGTGTACGTCTGTCCTGTCCCATTTGGGGAAAAAAAAAGAAAAGCAGCATCCAAAGGGTGAATATTAACGAGATGCCCCTCCTCCCCTTGGCAAATTACAAAGACATTCACCCAAGTGTCATTCGTTCCTTCCATTTTTGCGTGACCAAGTTAAGCAGCACACCCACTTCATATATATGCCTGTCTGTGCAGGGGGTACAGGCGCACCGTTTTCACATTAGCTACCGTCCAAATGTGTAAAAGAATAGGTGTGACCTATCCTTATTGGTGCACCTCCAAAACAGGTGGACAAGTATGCGGACCGTAAATGTGTTTATATATGCTAATAGTCGACGTGGCGATCTCTGTCTCCACACTTTGCTTTGTGGAGACACTGTTCCGCTATACACACATATCGTTAAAGTAGAGTGCGTACACTGTGACTTGGTCAAATATATGCACCTCCCTTCGTGCACGCATAACAAGATAACAAAGCAAAAACTTAAAAAAAAAAAAAAAAAAAAAAAAAAAAAAAAACCTACCTGC